ACAGCTGGTGCCCGCCGCGCGGGGGCGGGTTCGGGTTCGGGTTCGGGTTCGGGTTCGAAGCGGCGCGCGCGGCGGGGCCGGTGACGGTTGCCCGCCCGCCCCGAGCACCGGGCCCGCGTGTAGCGCGGAGGATGGCCGGGGAGCGGCTGCTCCTGCTCGCCGCGGCGCTCGCCCTCCTGCCGGCAGCCCCGGCCCAGAGCGCCTCAGCGGAGGAGCCAGGCCCCGCCATGCAGGGTACGGCGCGGGGCACCGCCCTGCCCGGGGGGGTCTCGCCCGGGGCTGGCCCAAGGCCGAGGCAGGGAGCGCTCTGCCGGGCCCGTGCCGGCCTCCAGCCCCGCCTCGCCCAGTGCCCGGGCAAAGGGCGGCAGGAGCCGCGGTTAGCCGCCCGCTCCCGGCTGCGTTAACAGAGCGAGGCCTAAAGAATAGGGGCGTGGGGGCCACGGCGTATCCCCCCCCCCGGCTACGGGCACAGCAACACAGGCCCGAATCGTTACTTTAATTAAGGGACAATCCCGGGGCCGTGTTTGATCAGTGCTGCCCGGGGAACGATAAGAAACCCAGCAAATAATCCCCTGTCAGGCTGTTTAGCGCTCATTGAGAGTTTACCTCGTTTTACAGTCTGGACTCTTCCCTGGGCGGGTTGAGCCATGGATGTAAAACAGCAGGGCCGTGGTCACTCCAGGAGCTGACTTTTCATGACGAAACCCCCCAAAGTCGTGGGGGTTTTGTCATGGAAGGTATTAGGGCCAGGGTGAACATGCGTCTGGCAGCATCAAATGCAGTCACAGTCTAACTACAACCTCTAAAACCTGCATCACTAAAGGCTCTTCGGATAAGGGTCTAAGGACCTGCTCCTGCTGCCTTTGATTTCAGTTGGAGCTGGATGGATCAGATCCTTAATGCCTTGTTTCAAGATGGTTAATGGCATAGCACATTTGGACGGAACATTCTGTGGGTATGGGCAAACAAAAGAAACAAAAATATGGGCAGTAGCTTAATCGGCAGGAAGAGAAACCCGGCTACTTCAGACCTAGGAGGGCGCTCAGCTGCGAATTACAATAATGTATTAAAAGGCATTTGTTGTACTTACAGCAAATATAAACCTTATCCTGTAGTCAGGTCTGCTTGCGTGAACTAATTGAATTCACTGGAGTTATGTGTTGTCTCAAAGGTCTACCAACGTGTAGCCCCAGGGACTTCAATAGGTCCATGTGCGTGGATTCAGTTGCAGGCTTGGAGCCTTATCTATATTGGTTATGTAACTGGTTTTGAAGTTTAGTGTAGGCTTGTAAAAGGAGCTAGTGATGTCAAATAATTGTTACTAATAGAGCTATGGAAAATTGGCATGACCTACTAATAAGATGCCTGATATGTTTAATTGCATACATATTTCCCAAACAAATGATATTATTAACTATGAATGAATGAAAAGGGAAGGGGTGTTTATGTACATAACTGAAACAAATAATAGGGATCTGGTGTAAGAACATTAGATATACATTTTCAAAGTGGTGGATGGAGATTTAGTCTAACAATTAATGTCTTACATTCCTCTTGAAAATATATATGTAAAGGTCTAAGTCACTGTTTCTCAATGGTATTAAAAATAACAAGCATGTTCTGTCATTAGAAGTCAGGTGTTAAAACTACTAACCTGTCACATCACGCAGAACACACGGGATATACTGTTCACGTATTTGGGGAAGTGGCAAGGCAAAATAGTGGTTTTGAAACTTTAATGGATTGAGCCTCTCTACCAGCAAGTGGGGTAGGGTGCAAATTGATGAATGAATCTGACCAACTCTCTCCCCACTTTTTCTGGCAGTTAATAATTTGGGTGTGTTTTTTTTCTGCATTCAGTTTTTTCATTTCATTCTCTACATATTTATTCAGATTACCTTTTATCTTGATTCACATTATTGACAGAAATTTAAGTAAGTGGTTAATAGGTTGCTCAGCACCTCTGGAAAACAGGTGATAGTAGTCTTAAATCAGGCTACCAAAACCAAAGGCTTTCCAAATTAGTGGAGGCTTAAATTATTTTACCTATACTGGTAAATATTTGTAGCCTACATGTAGCTTCTGCTAACACTAGCACTGGAGCATAACAACCTTATTTTCCTGCCTGTTTACTATGCAAGAACTTGCAAGATTAAGAGCAAAAGGTAGATTTTCCTGCTTGGAGATGGAATGAACTATGTGGATCTATGACTTTCTCTATCCAATTTTTCTATACCTTTTTACTGAAAACTTTTTTTTTCAATATTTAGGCACTCCAGATCAGTTCAACAAAAATGAAAAAGAAATGTTGTCTACTTCTATTTTTTACGAAAAAATTGTACTTTACCATTTTTATTTGTCCTCACAAATTCCTGCCTAAATTGAGTTCTTAAAGTGGTGTTCTAATCTTGGGTTGGGGGCTCAGGATGAACCTGTTGCAAGGGCATCCCTTACCTGCAATCTTTTCTGGTTTGCCCAAAACATAATCAACATGTCAAAAGTTGCAGGGTTAATACAACCATGTAAAAGGTAATGCTGTGCCATTTGATAGAACAGTGAATCTTAAGGAGTTTTTAGAGAGGAGAGCAGATGGCAGCATGCAAATGCCACTGAAGCTTGTAATTGTTCCAGTATACTTGATTCTGATATTTAGAACTAGAGTCCACATGTACAGGAGGTGGGGAATTCCTTTTTTTTTATACATTTAAGAAATTGGTGCATGTAATATCTGTGAGTTTTAAGTTCCTGGCTGACAGCATTTATAGTCTGTCAGCATTTTTTGTGTCATAACTCCCATTTCAGAGGCTAGAAAGACTATCTGGTAATATTATGGACAAGAGGATACAGTGTCAAGTCACATCTAATAGGTCTTCTGCTCCAGTATGATTTGCTATTCTATGAAGGTTTGGAAGAAATTTAAAAGAAGACAGCTGAGTACAAATCAATATTTTCTTGACAGCCCAAGTCCTCTTCCTCTCTTTCCAATTTACATCTGTCCTCCAGAGATGACAAATCACAGTATAGTCACCAGAGGCTTTCCATCTTCTAAATTACAGTATCTTTTTTCTAATTTCACAGACAAAAATTGATTTAATCAGTCTTCACCTGTTGCCTATAGGTGTTTGCTAGGTAAGGCATAGGCATAAGTTAAGGCAATAAAGCATGAGCCTACAGGCCTGTATCCTGTCAGAGGGTAGTTTTCAACCTTTTTTAATTTGTGCATCCCTACAAAATATCAAATGGAGGTGTGGACCCTTTTGGAAATCTTAGACATAGTCTGTGTATCCCAAGGGTCTGCGGACCACAGGTTGAAATCACTGCTGTAAGACATTGGCTTAAGCAGTTAGTATAAGGCTTTGAGGCCTGTGAACTTTGGCATGGGACCGAAATAAGTGAATAGACAGATTTGGACAGTCTGAACTACTGTGGCCTATTGGTGGTTAAAACTGGAATATGAAATCAGCTCCCCTGCCACCTCAAGGTGTGGGTCACTGGGCCCAATGCTACTTCTTATTAATCTTTAGGTACCAAAACAGTTCAATTTACAAAGCCCCCTTAACACTTGTTAAATTTTAAACAGCACAGAATCCCCTTCTTGTGAGATTCTGAACACAAATGACTAGTCAATAACACAAAATGAGGGATGCAATCAGAGTTCAATGAGGCTGATGTCCCACATCACCCCACGTGCATCCTCACACAGTTACAATTATCATGGAGACCTAGTGGTGGGAGACAGGTTGCTATCTGTGAGGGTCCTACCCTAGCTCTGTCATGCCATGTGAGTCTGATGGTCAAGGTCTTAATAAGAGTGGATTTGATTTAAATCACTAGTCAGGAAGACTCAATTTAATCATGGTTTTCTACATAAAAGTGCATTCTTGTTGGTTGTTATAACCTTACTACATATTCTTCACAACTCAGAGATAAAGGTAGGTTTCATTTTTAGAAGGTACACACTATACATTTTTAAACAGTGATTTATTTTGAAAACTTTTCAGATTAGTTTTACAGCTATATCAGAAAATGAATGATTGTTTGGTTATTTATGAAGTCATTGGGAGGTGAACTATCTCCAATTCAACAGATTAATCATTAATATTTGGAGGATTTTCCTGCCATGGTGTATTAGGAGGAGAACATCACCAGACAGACATTTAAAATGTTTTATTTAACTAAAACAACAATGCTAAGTATTTTGGATTTTTTTCTTCAACAGCAAACATATAATATTTTAACAAAACAAGCATATGTCCCTCGCTTCTCACATTTATCTCCAGACTTCTTCTCCTTGTCCAGATCTATTCCGCCCCCAACAATCTTCTATTTATTGAACTTTTTGAAACTGCACTTTTAGAGAGAGGTAACGGATTGACTCTGTGTACACATATTTGCAGAGGGACAGTAGAGTTGAGGTCTGTTATTTCTCACCTCTCTATATTATTTATTTAGTTAAAACATTTTTGCTGTTAACAAGCATGTTACCTCTGGAGAACTGCAAAACTAAGCATCTCTGATGGAATCTTCTAGGCTGAGCACTGAGTCCCATTGGGTAGATAGAAAGATTAACCTAAATATTCTATACAGAAGCCTGTGGAACCCCATAAAATTGGGTCCCTAATCCACGAACTATTGGAACTCATTTACAAAACTTTTCTTAAACATTACATGAATATATTGTCTCATACTATAGAATTAGAATTTATAATCCCTATTCCATGATGAGATATCTTTGAGCTATAATGTATCTTAATTATAACTATCTTTAGATAGGTTTTTTCCTCAAAAAAATTTTATCAAAAAAATCCAATTTAAATTTAAAAAATCCAATTTTTTTGATTTAAAAAAAAAAATCATTGATTTGTATCCACTGTGTCTTAAATACCTCTGCTCGAGGGGTGGGTGCATGCGTGTGCATGTGTGTGTGTGCTAGTTACTAGTCCTCCCAGGAGGACAATACTCCCTGAGTTGGTGAGCTAAGTACAAGTAGAAGTAGTATACTAGACGCAGAGAAACAGAAAAGAAGAAGAATAGCAGAGGAAATGAGAAAGTCCCGTACTCTGGAAACGTACAGTGTTTGTGACAGGCACTACGTTCTAATTGAGAGATTAATTTGGATTTCAACTTATATTTTTATTGCAGGTGAGTTACCTGTTTCCTGAGTTTAAGCTACAGGTAGGGGGGTTGCCACTGTGGACCCTTCCCTGTTTGGTCGCCAAACCTGTTGCTTGATCTATGGGTTGTGAGTGTTGTAACCTTGCACATCAGGGTTCCCAACTGAACCCTATCAAACCTCAGAGCGTTAACTGGGAATTCTTAAGTAATCAGTATAAATACTAAATACTCTTTGTTTGACTTTGGACTTGCAAATCCTCTCTATACTTGAGTGGGGGTAAGATTAACTTTTTTTTTCTTCTTATCAGCCTTGGCCCTGTTTTGGGTTCCTTATGATTGTTCAGATGAATTATGAAATTTATTTTTCTCTCTAGGTCAATCCTTTGAGATGCTTAAAGCTCTCCATAAAACAACTTTGTTGGAGAATTGATCATGCAAGAAAAGTTCTTCAGCTTCAAGGGCCAGATCTGTATTATGTTGTGGACTAGACCAGAGCTTGGAGCCTGATGGTTTCTTGTATGGATACTGTCCCCTAGCTCAGGTTTTTATCTGGGAGACTTATAGAGCCTCAGTTTGAGCCAGTGGACTCAAAGTACACAGGACCAGTATCTTCATTGTCAAGATAGCTTCAGTCAGTGATGGTTGGGTCATAAGATTGTGTATTCCTGTGAGCTGCCGAAACAAAGAAAGGGTCAAACTGAACAGTTTTGTGTGATAAAGTGCCTTGCTCAGTATCCTAACAATACAAGGAGTCTTGAGTCATGGGAGGCTATAATCTCTCTTCCGAGCCTAGGGGATCAGGATGGAGGCTCTCATTTTAGTAAGAAGCAGGAAATAGAAAGCAGGTACACATCATATTTGACATTGTAGTGGTGATGTGAAGTATCAAAAACATAAGACTTGGAAGCACCAAGTTTCACCCATCAAAATTATGAGCCAGCAGATGCTCATAGTTCTTCAGTTTTATTTCACTGGGCAGAAAATCATTTCAATGGCTTCCTAATAGACCACGTAGCAGCTCACCCCAATATTAAGGCTGATTTGATGTAGCCAACTCTTGGAAAATATGACTTTCACGTTGAGATGTTCATGAAACATTATGAAAGGCAGGAGAAGTCCAGAAGTAAATTTGTTCTCTTTTAGCAAGAATCACAAGCTACCTTTAACAAATACAGAGACCTGGACAATTTTTCCCCAATGGCCTAGACAAGAACCTAGAAGCTATAGTTGATACATCAGAGGAAGAATTTTGGAAACTCATGCTGATAAGTGACAGTCAAAGTTCTAAGTGCTCAGGTTTTCTGCTGGTTGAGCTGAAAACTTGCATAGATCCATTGTGCATCAATGGAAGATCAGTTTAAAATTCTTATGTTGTCTTTTTTCCTCTTTTCCCCCCCAAAGCTTCCTTTTAGTGGCTATGTGTTAGGCAGAAAGGACAAGTGAGAATTCTTTGGTGAAGCCATTTTTCTAGTTTGACATAGACAAAATAATGTAGAATTATCCTTAATTTTCACTTTGATTGATCGATCCATCAGCCCTCACATCATTTGTGTTGTTCTAGCCAGTCTGTCAGCCACCCACTGGCCAAGCTGTCAGTGACACCAGACACCCGATTGGCCTTGTGCACCGCAGCCCAGAACCCCTGAGTGATCTGCCAGCCTCAGTGCCACCATTCCCGACGTATCCTTAATTTTTTTTAAATCAATTTTCAATTTGTCTAGGGTCACAAGATTATTTTGTGGGTCTTTATGTCCCACAACATTATTTTATAGTTTGTAGACGTCTAAGGGGCTTTCAAAATGTACCTGGAGGACTATTTAAGCAGCATAGAACGGGAAAGAAAAGTGTATTACAATATCTATAAAGTCAACAACAAAGCTTTACCAGGTTTCATTAGAATTGTTCTATAAAGGCATTTGGAATGTCTTGAGTCTTTGATAGGATGCTTCAATGCAATAAATTTATTAAAACGCTACATAGAGTTCTGTTCATTCCTCCACTGACTCTGTGTGTCTAGAAGTCTGGTCTTCTGCAGAAGTAACTTCCGACAGATGAGTTCTCCAGGCACTGCTTCACCTTCAAATTTTCGCTTTACCTTTGTTGCATTGCTTCTTAGTCAAGGCAGTCCTAGGTTGAGAACAGCCAACTTTATAGAATGAACAATTTTTTGTTACTTAAAATGTTTGGATGGCATTTGTAAATTGAATTTAATCAGTCCAGAATACTACCTTTTCTCTTGAGTCTGTTGTCTTTTTTTTTCTTTTTCCTTGTGTTTAATTTTACAGTTATGTGGTTTCACAAGTGAATGATTACTGTAGTGGAATTTCTTAAACTGAGAGAGATGACACTTACTGTGATCTTGAGCAATCTTTTTGGTTTTCTTTCTTCACCTGCTGGCAGAAACACTCAATCCAACATCCCCAGAAGAGTGCAGTCTAATTTAAAGAAATAATATTTGCAAGTAGGAAAAATTCCTGATTACCTGGCATGGCATGTAAGTCTAAACATCATATTTCTTTGCTCCATCATTAGGGTTCTGAAAAACAGTTGTAAATTTCTTCTCTATTTTTCATGCAGAAGTTGAGGGACTAGCTTTTCAAAAGTGCTCAGCTCAGTCTCCAATTTAGGCACTTACATTGAAATGGCCAGATTTTCAGAAGAGATGAGCACCAGCAGCTCCCATTGTTCATGTTAATTAGGTGACATGAAAGCTGAGAAGTTTTGAAAATCTGGACATTTCATTTGGGTACCTAAATCAGAGCAGCTGGTACTGAGTTTTTTGAAAAACTGGCCCTAAATTTCCAACACAAAATTACTTGAAATAAAGAGAAGTTAGCTTATTTTTTGTTATAATTTCATATTTTAACTTTGCAGTGGGCTTTCTTTCCCTGTTTGGTGTAATGTGAGGTGAACACTTTTAAATACAATGCACACGGCACAGTTCTAAAATAAAAAAACTCCAAATCCCAGTCTGGGCCTCAGCATTGACATTGTATAATTTAAATGTTAAGCTCAGTAACTAATTTTAATTTTAAAAGTGTTTTTTTCTTTTAGCATTGCAACATACTTTCGAGAATGTTAAACACATAAAGGTAACTCTAATTTTGGGATTTTGAAAATAAATGTATTTATTTATTTATTTCTGTTTTTGCCCACAATGTGCTAGGGTCCTTCCAAACAGAAAAGAAGTAATTGTCCTTGCCCCAAAGAGATATGCCTACCAACATTTCAGTATAATTTCGGTTTATCAGTCTTCTCATTTCTTATTTCTCTAATATCAAAACAAAGGAAAATACTTGTTAATTACTAATTTTCACTATTACAGTGTATATGATATGTCTAATTCTGCTGCTAAGAGATTTTTCCATTGACTTCTATGGGAGCAGGATAAAGTCCTACATTGGGAGAGATGGAGCAGAAAGGAAAATTCAACATGTTCTATGACAGAATTAGCCAATTAATTAATTATGTCCCGGTCCTGCAAAGATTTACACGTGTTTAACTTTAATCTTTGCAGGATCAGGGCCTTAGTTAAAGATGCTTATTCTTTCTACTAAGCAGAGTAAGTGTTTTCACTACTGAGTGACACTTCTTTTAGGTTATTCTAGAATGTATGCTGATTTTTGTTTGTTTGTTGTTAGTGCTTTAATTTCTATTTTAAAGGAAACATTGGGGCCTTGTGGGAAAAACTGAAAAATACTAGTATTTCGGAACAGTTCTGTTCATATATAATTTTCTGATTTTCACTTTATTCTTTATTAAGAAAACAGCACCAGTATTTTCTTTCTCTCTATCTCCTCCCAATCCTTAGCACCCTTGACTTTGTTTAGATTGTGAAGTCTGTGGATATTGCAGATTAGAGTGGTTCATCTGCAAGTCACAGATGATATAGATGCAGAATTGCTTCCAAATAGAATATTTTCAAACTTTTTCATGTGACCCCACAGCTCTTCAAATAAATTTCTGATATGCCTTAACTTCATGCCTTTTTGCTGTAGACATAAGTTGTAAACAATGTTGACTATTTCAGCATATTAGACTAAGTTTGAGGCTGCTGAAATAAATATTGAACAGTTTTAGAGTACAGAGAACAAATTTTCAAAGAGGTCTTACCCCAATCGCTAAATGTATGTCTTCAATTGACCTTCTGCATACATTTATTAAAACCTAAATTTTTGCATGGAAAAAATTCAAATTTATGTGTGCAAATTGCATTTGTCACTAAAATAACATTGTTAGTGCAAAGCTACCTAGCTTGCATGTGGAAATGCAGTTGCATACATTTAAATTTCTTCACACGAAAAAATCTGAATGTGAACAAATGCACAAGCAAGTTTAGATAGATGTTAGCCTGCTGGTGTATTGTGACCACTGCCTATCATATTATCTCATTTTTCCTTGTAATGTGGCTGTCTGTAAGCTCTTTGGAGCAGGGGCCATCTTTTTGTTTGATGTTTGTACAGTGTCTAGCATAAAAGGGTCTGGGCCCTTGAATAGAGTTCCTAGGTGCTATAGTAATACAAATAATTAGTAATATAATAAATTAAAAATAGAGGCCACATATGAAAACAAGGCCCTACATATCTCTGTAAATTCTTTAATCGCTAGATTTGGTGTTTCCCTGGGAGTGAACTAGCACCAAGAAATGGATTTTGAGTTTTGAATATTTGAGTTCACAAAAGTTTGGTCTTCAGTTAAACCCATATCAGGCCTCTGACATCAGTCAGACAGCAAGGTGGAAAGATTTAATCGGACATTGAAAATACAGTTGTGAATGTTTTGGAGCACCGTCACAGAGAATGAGTTATGCACATACCATTTTTACTGAAAGCAAAGAAATCTGCTATGAGTTACTCAGCAAAATGCACTTGTCATGTTTGGACATCAGCAGATTATTCCAAATATGGTTGGGGTTCAAAAGGAAAAGCGAGTAGAAATTAATCATTTAGATTATGCAGAAGAAATAAATACATAACTTTTGTCCCTGTGTGTCTGAAGTGTTAGGGGCAGTGAAATCGTTTAGCAGGGAGAACTGATATGGTTCTTCAGTTCCTCAGGCAAAGAAAGCTCTGGAAGAAGCTTATAGAGTTATTATGTATCAAATATATGTAGTGTCATTGATTGAATCTTTGAACACTTGTACCAAATTTACTCTGGTATATAAAGACAATGTTGAAATACAGGAGAGGGAAAGTCATCCAATAGGGATTATAGATGCTAAAACATCCTAAAAACAAAAAGAATGGAATAATAATAAACTTGATTTGGTATGGGGTTTTCACATAAATATGTCTGAAAAGGCATTGTAGAATTAATATAACTATAGAGTGAAATAGATAATAAAGAAGACAGTTACAGAATTACAAAGCACACTTCTAGTTCATCCTTCCTTGACAAGACAGGAACACAACATCTTTCTTCCAAAATTTCATGTACTTTTCAAAGACATATCCAACTCCCACTCTTCCTTCCTAATGTATTTCTCTCATGCTGCACATACTGGAAAATTTATAATCATTTTAACCCCTTTCTGTTCATACTAGTTGGACTGCCTGCACCCGTGGGCAATTTCAACACATTTACCCTTGTGTTTAGATTATTATAGGCAGAGCTGAAAGATGCCTGTGGTTAAGATTGCCTCACACTATCTATTATAAGCTCCTGTTATCAGGTATTCATAATTTTGACAAATTTGAACAGTTTAGGCTGAAATTTTCCATGCTAGGTGTTTGCCTCAGGCTCAGGGTCTGTGAAAGTTTCAGCAAAAACAGTTCATCTGTTTTCAAGAAAATGGTCAGGGGAAATGTATGTTGTTTGCCAATGTTAACAAATTCTTACAACTATTTTGTTGAAAAGTTTTAGCATCACTGTGTTTTGGATCACAGACTTGAAATTTGCAAGGGAATCCTCCTGGGGACAGAGAGGTGCCTTTTGCTGCCCCAGTGAAAATTCACTCAAATTATAAGAAATTATAAGAATTATAAGAAATATTACCAACCTCAAGCATTCAAAAAGCAGCAAAAATCACGAGTCTGGCTTAAAAATTGAGTTTTTTTTTAAATAAAAATTTGGATTTCTTTTTATTTGGCTTTTGTACCATTGGGGTTCACATTCCAAGCTTTTCTCTGCATCCATATGGGGGCTTTTCGGAGGATATCTGCCTCCTGTATTTGAAGTCATTAGTTGTATAAATTGGAAGGTATGCAGTGAATCAGACAGGGGACTACATGAAGATAAAGGGTTGTCTCATGGTTAAGGTGGGTGAATACCATTCTGGAGTCTATCTCTGCTTCCATCACATAATTTCTATGTGAGACCGGACAAGTCACTTTAAACCAAAATTTTTGCAGATGGCCCTTAGGTATTCCCCATTTTCTGGGTGTCCAACATGAGATGCAGGGGTTGGATTTGCAGAAGTGCTGAACACTCATACCTGCAACTGAAGTCAATGGGTGCTGTGCTTTGAACATATAATGTGCTGTAAAAATGCTAAATGCTCTGAAAAATTAGGCTGTAGGTACATTGAGGGGGACACCCAAAATTAGTGGACACTTTTGACGATAGTTCCGAGCCTCAGTTTCCCATCTGTGAAATGGGAATAATAATATCACTTCACTTCAAAGGGCATTGTAAAGATAAATTCACTAATGTTTTTGAAGCACTAAGACGCTTCAGTGATGAATGCCATAGAAAAGCCCATGTAAGAAAATAAATAGTTCTGTATTTAGTACAGGGCTTGAATGGTGTGCAGTAAACAAAGAATGGGATCATACATTGAATGACGAGGATAAAAATAAATATTGAATAGCTACCTATTCAGTACTTGTTCCTGCAACACAAAAGTCAATAGGAATCTGAACTCTCATTTCAGTAGTAGCAGGATCAAGCTATGAGTGAGCACCATCTATCCTGTGCACTCAATATGGCAGACATCCTATGAAACAAATAGTATGTGGTCATATAATTAAAGACTACACATGGGGGCAAACTAAAGTTGCAGAGGCAATCTTAATTCTGGCATTTCCTAACTTTTGCATGCTTAATTTCCAACCTTGGCATTCTTTTTTTGTATGTAAAGTATACACACACTACTATGAAAATGTGGTTTAAGATGGCAAAATGCTAACTACACAGTTTTGAGGATGTTCTCAGATGTCAGGGTCCCAGGCAGAACCACCAGGGTATTTGCAGTTTTAACATTTTAGCTAACTGTGAACTTGCCAAAGACATACGTTTACCTCATATAGCGGGAGTAGAAGGGAGGCAAAGTTATGATTGTATGTGATACAACAAATATCTGAGATCTATGTTCTCTGCTGTTTGGAATCGCTCTCGCTCTGTTTTGTGGTAACCTTAACTTTGAATTTATTGGCTTTGTTGTTTTGTTTTAGCGATAATGTTCTGATTATGTCAAATAATTTTGTCTGGAAATCTGCCTTAATTATTGCCCCAAAATAATGTGGACTAATAATATGAAGAAAAATATTGTCATAATGACATGAAAGTCATGTTGCAATTACAGTTATTTTTGTGCTCAACAGATCAGTGTGCATCCAACCTCATCTATCCAGGTTTCAAGCTCAGGAACAGACAACTTAACAATCTATGGTAAGAACTCCTCGCTCTCATTTACATCTTTGTAGTCTTTGCAGATCCTAACTGTAAAATTGCATCATTTAGACTTGCGGTGACAAGATCTGTTTCAAAGCAGCTAGCTCTTGGGGAGCTGTGCCTGTGCCCATATTTCCACATTCTAGAACTAAGAGTAGAAAAAACCCCAACTTGCAGGCTTGCAAAAGAGAAACTCAATGCCAATGTCCTACCTCATTCATTTAAGAAGGCAGGGTTACATTAAAAATGTCAAAAAGCATAGATTTTCTATGAATATAAAAATCATTAAAGTTATGGCAAAAGTCCAGATATAGCTGGAATTTGTTTTACGCATGATATAGGTGAAAGTATATTAGGCAAATGTGGACCTGCAATTTCTATGAGTGCACTTTATAATTATTTGATAATCTTTTATAGAATCTCATACAACACCTTTTGGGTCAGAATTAAAGAAAGAAGAGAAAACCCTGAGGAGCCTCGTGGAGATTCTGCAGGATATGATGCAAGATGTTCCTACACAGCGCACACCAACTGAACAAACAATCATTACACCCAAAATAGTGAAATCGTATGTTAATGGAAGTATTGACTCTTTTTGGTTAAATGTGGGCCAAAAACATGATAGAAAGCCACAGAAGTCAAAGAAAAAGGCTGCTGTTACAAGAAAATTTACTACATCTACAACAACCCCATTTTGGAGTCTGCGAACTGGCACAGAAGTTTCTGTCCTTTTACATACTAATGAGTCGTCTAGCTCAACAACACCACTGAAAAAAATATTTTTTACATTTGAAAATGCTGTTTCAAAAAGAAAAAGAAAGACTTTTGATCAGTTAACAAATGGATCCCTGGAAAATCTAGTTCAGTCTTTAAAGAATGTAAAAAAACTCAAAGAAACAGAAAACATCACCAAAAAAGCAGAAAAACTGAAACATATTGCAAAGGTGAAAAAGCTACATGTATATGACAAGGTGAAACATCGACCTGCAGGTGAAGCAATCTTGGAAAAGATTGAAAAGCTAAAAAAATTGTTACAGAAGCCACCAGATTATGTTAAACAAAATCCACATCTCAAAGAGTATGTTGAATCATCTGAAAACTATATAACGAAATCTCTTATGCTGGAAAAAGAAGCAGAGGCTTCACTAGGTCTGCTGTATCACCGACCTAAGCCTTCACCTCCGAAAGAAAAGGTAGAACAGAACACAGAAGTAGTAGAACAGGACACAGCAGAAATCAGAAAGTTAAGAGCATTTATTAATCTGCTGTATGATTTTAGTCCTCAGCTAACTACATATATTGAAAGTTCTGACAAGAAATATGTCCCAGAGGATATTAGTGTAAAAGCTATTGCTGTTCTTGATGCTATGAAACATGTTTTCTGTGGAAGTCAGGCAGAGCAAAACAAAAAGGTGTTGAAGAAGTTGCTAGAGGATGATATAAAGCTTTTAAACATAGTTCTTAAGAACCACGAATAGACTCTTAAAAATAGTTATTTATTGGTACCCTTCATTGCATTTACTTTAATTTTAAAGTTCGATTTTCTAGTTTGTCATTGTCATCTAGACCTGATCTCTGTTGTAACAATATTCATCTCAGTAATTAAACACCATTTTTAAAAAATGTTCATTTTCAGTGTTTACCATGATGGGTTGTTGACCTTGGATAAGCTTATTCTGTTGTTAAATTTGTGTTGGCATCTGAATGAATTATGCTTAGATATATTGTTAGTTTAAAATTTTGCAATTTCCTTTTGTAAGGGTTGTTCTGCAATGCCGCTGTAATACATACCACTTAGTGTAGAGGGCTGAAGTAAAGCTTTTAGTCTTTTAATGTTTATTTGTTAAAATTAAATAACACCAAATAGATCGACACTCTTGGGCTAGTGACTCTCAACGATAGGAATGCAAAGGGGGTTACTCTGGTACAGGATAGTGGTTCCTGTAGCTACCAAATAAACGTCAAGGAGCAACCCTGGGCTCCCTGTTCTTGTTCACAAGTAGAGAAAGCCCTAACTGCAGTCAAACTACCATGGTTCTGATACATGGGGAAGGAAGTGGGCTGCAAAGGGGGCTTCTTGGAGTACTCTGTAAGAACTTAAGAACGGCCATACTGGATCAGACCAAAGGTCCATCTAGCCCAGTGTCCTGTCTTCTGACAGGGGCCAATGCCAGGTACTTCTGAGGGAATGAACAAAACAAGTAATCATCAAGTGATCCATCCCCTGTCACCCATTCCCAGCTTCTGGCAAACAGAGGCTAGGGACACCATCTCTGCCCTTCCTGACTAATAGCCATTGATGGACCTATCTGACATGAACTTATCTAATTCTTTTTTGAACCCTGTTAGTGTCTTGGTTTTCACAACATTCTCTGGCAAGGTATTACACAGGTTGACTGTATGCTGTGTGAAGAAATACTTTCTTTTGTTTGTTTTAAACCTGCTGCCTATTAATTTAATTTGGTGACCCCTAGTTCTTGTGTTAGGAGGAGGAGTAAATAACACTTCCTTATTTACTTTCTCCACACCTGTCATGATTTTATAGACCTCTATCATATCCCCCTTAGTTGTCTCTTTTCCAGGCTGGAAAGTCCCAGTCTTATTAATCTTTCCTCATATGGAAGCTGTTCCATACCCCTAATAATTTTTGTTGCCCTTTTGTGTACCTTTTCCATTTCCAATATATCTTTTTTTGAGAGGGGGCGACCACATCTATAGCAGTATTCAAGATGTGGGGCATACCATGGATTTATATAGAGGTAATATGATATTTTCTGACTTATTATCGATCCCTTTCTTAATGATTCACAACATTCTGTTCGCTTTTTTGATTGCCGCTGCACACTGAGTGGATGTTTTCAAAGACCTATCCACAATGGCTCCAAGATGTCTTTCTTGAGTGGTAACAGCTAATTTAGACGGCATCATTTTATATGTAGAGTTGGGATTATGTTTTCCAATATGCATTACTTTGCATTTATCAACACTGAACCCTAGTTGTCATGGGAGCTCTCCTTTATGGGACCTCTTTCTCCATGGCTCAAAGGAAGGAAGCACAGGAGAAGTGCAAGCGTGGTCAGGGAATCTGCTACCACGTGGGGCTCTGGACAAAATGCAGACACATTATATAGGGGAATTTCCTAGACCGTAGGAGCTGTGCTGGTACTCTGGGCTGGAAAGGGGTGATTTTTTCCCCATCCTCCAAATTCTGAGGATATTCCCCATTCAAAGCTTATTTATTCAAGTTTTGTGTCCAACATTTGACCCCAAGTGATTTTTTTTTATGACAAGGCTGATACCGCTTGCCTTTGTTTGCTGGAGCCCATGTTTTTCTTATGACTTCATTTTTTTTAAGGCTTTTGAGACCTATTTTGGAAAGTAAGCCATAATGAAACAAGAGGTTTCCTTGAACATTCTTGGTGGCTTCTTCCTGACTTCCCCATATACCTCATGTGGCCTTTGAAGAGGAGATAATCCAAATCAACCATGTTTTCAGGTTGGGACAGTGCAGATGTCCAGACCTGCACCATGAATCAATGATCAGAGAGATTTATCTCCTGAATTATGCTGTATAGATGCTGCTTACAGAGCCATATTTTTGCTCACTAGGTCCCAAATGGTCAATGAACTTTGAGATCTAGAGGATGAAAAGCCGGCCTTGTGAAGTGTTAACAAATCAAAGGCTCCAACCCTTTCTTCACTTTACTAAGGGGAGCTTGCTCTCTTCTGATATGTGTGCAAGTTGTTCTTAATTAATTTAAAATAATTTATACTTTCTGCTGCTTGTACATAGGCACTTGCTGTTCCATATTGTTTTAATTTTCTTAAGATTTCTTTTAAAATAACATGAGTTCTTAAAGACTTTTGTCAAATACCGTTGTTCCTACTTTTCTGTGTATTTTTTATCTGTGCGTGTTAAAAACTGTTTGAAAATTGAAGCTTCAGAGTTTTTTGGCATAATGTCTAGAACTTCATATTAAATCCATTTGATCTTATAGATTTGTTGGTTCAGTATCTCTGACGTGGAGTTTCTTACAACTTTTTCTAATAAATCTTGGATCATACCATGATAGTACTATCTAACAGTTGGACTACTGCAACATGCTCATTATTGGTCTTTTAGTAATATCCACTCAAATGATGCAAAATTTTAAATAAACTTAACTTGAAAATATATTTCTGGCTTTTAAACATATCATTCATTCTGTTATTGATTTGGGATATTCATTTCAAATATCAAAGCTCTGCTATTTGGTTGGTTGTTTTTCCCTCTAAGAAACCAGAAACAAGAGGTTTGGCCAAATCAGCAGTTGGCTTGACTCATTGGCTGGGCAGGTAGTGTCTATGTAAATGTTACAAAGAAATAGAAATGTGGAAATGGAATGGAAAAGCATAAGGCACCACAGAAGACAACAGAGTTTAGACCCTGACTGTCATATGACAAGGCTTTGTAAATGTTGACAATCTTAGTAAAGGAGAGAAAAATAAAGCCAGTAGGGTCAAAAGTTGAATTGTCATGGGAAAGTTCAGAAATAGAGATTACTTGACAGATCAGAAGTTTGTTGTCTAGCATGCACATAAGAGCTTGTTGAACTGTTTTGTTATGAATAATTGTTATGAATTTAGCTATTTTTTCAGTTAGTGAATTATTCACAAACCAAGCCTGATTTTTTTTGAATGTGACAGAATTTGTCGTTCAGAAGTATTCATTTGTAGACAGGATAAATAATTGTCAGCATGTGGCCTATTTACAGCCTGTTTGCGTTGAGTGTTTGCTGTTCGGTATTCATGGGCTTGATTGTCTGTGTCTTATGGTTTTAATGCTGCTTCTTGATTGAATTATTGAAACTTTTTAGGCAGGAAAATAGTGAATAGAGGATAACATACTGCACTTTCTACTACAGATTTTGGACGAATAATCACTTATGATAAATTGTATGAACGTTTTTGGGTTTGTAAACATTTTCACCACTACGTGGCAGCTGCTGGATATGTGTGATTAAAGGAAAATGACTTCATAGCAAACTGAACTTATTCCTGTTATTCATGAAAATATTAATGAATTAGTTTAACTGTTCAACCAGCTCTAATGTGGACTTGATCTTGCTCCCATTACATTTAATGAGATTTTTGCCTATTTTATTTAATCAAAATGATATAACCTTTTATGGGGGTAAGGAGTATTAAGAAACAGTAAAAAGATTCCTTCCAACCAATTTTAAATCAAAAGTTTGGAAAGTCAAAAATGATGATTCCCGCAAGAACTGCCTCCTTGCCTCCTCCTTGTATAACTGGATAGGCTAGTACATTTAGGCTTTGATATATATTTCTTAAACAAAAGCTTTTCATAAAAGGAATTAAGGTTTGTTGACTGTGACATCCCACCAACTCAAATCTATGCCAGGTTATTGGACACTCTGTTGCTGTAGTCGAACTCATGTTCATTAAAAGCAACAGACTCTTCATCTTCACAAAGCACTTTCTTTTGCCTGTAATAGATAAGCGAACCTATTACCACACAAGAATACATAAGTCTCCCTCTCAGCATTGTACAAAATGTTATTAACCACCTCAGGAACATTAGCAAATATTCAGCGTTGAAATATGTGCAGCAGTTAAGTGTGATGTGTTATGTTTGTGTGGGAAGCATGAGATGGGGTGAGCATGAGCATCGGAAGGAGTGTTTGTAGTGGCTTGGTAAATTATATTAAAATATGCAAGAGAGCCGAGGTGCCATTCTAATACTCTAAATACCTTTAATGATGTACTCTTATTATCTTAACCTTTATATCCATTAGAGGCAGATATTGGGCTTTGTTGACCTTTTTTTTTAAAAGGTCCCATTTGGGGAAATCATACATCTATATTTCCTGCCAGGTTTTGTGCCATCCAAGATCAAAGACGAAAGTTTGATTAATTGACTATAAGTTTGTAGAAAGGCAGGACAGTAATTTCGTGGGGCTGGCTTCTGAGGTTTTAAATATTCTTTACTATTCCATGGCTTGCGCCTACAAAATACTGAGCAGTCTGGCCCTGCTCCTGCAAAGCACTTAAGCACAGGTTTAACTTTAAGCACGTTAGTCCCTAAAGTTAAGCATGTGTTTAAATGCTTTGCTGGATCAAGGATTAAGGATTCAGCACCTTCCAGGATCGAGCTCCGGATGTCTGTGATCTCTTGTATAGAGATGTTGTATGTGGAGTTTTCTAGGAGGGCCCCTTTTAATATTTATTAATGTGAGTTTAATTGTGCTAACCATTTTTTCTGTCTAAAGTTACCACCTATAATTACATTTTAAAACTTCCCCTTTAATTTATAAAACCGTCAAAAACCAGATGAAAATATCAAATCAATGTGAATAAGAACACGTAATCCTCTCTTTAGCTATCATGTGCATTGTCCCATAAAAAGTGACTTCCAAAATAACATAACGTTTTTGTTGTGTGGAATTTTGTGCAATAACATACAGATGTGGAGGTTGATGTCACTAAAGAGTCATACAATTGGTCGTGCACAGTTTATAGTTAACTGGCATAGCAGAATGATTTGACTGTGTGCATTTGGGGAACACAATCTTCTCTATTGTTTATCAAGCTATTTAGATGTGTAATCGTAAGCCACTCTAAAAGTAATTATGAAATAGGGTAATTATTAAAATGTCACCACCATATGTTCTGTAATGATTCAGTTGAAATCCTTTTATTTGACAGACAGAAACCTTTTAGCATGACAGAGTTAACTTAAACCTCTAAAAGAGAGACATCTCTACACCTTATTGTAAAATCATTTACAGCTGAATTATTAGATAAGACCTGAAAAGTAGGATACACCAGAATTCCCCCTTACTTCTACTGGGAAAAGCAAGAATTCTGAAGAATGAAAGGCATTTCAAATGTATCATTTAAGGTGAGGGCTTTTATTCTGCAGAATAGCATTTTTTTATGATTCAATCTAAAATGAGTGAATTAACCAATATATTAAAATCACCAATGATACAAAAATCTTAAGAAAAAAACAGTGATAAATATTTGTTACCATTTTATAGATTTTTTTAAAAATCTTTAATTGTTATATATGTTTTCTAGGCACATGTTTACAAGTTGGAGTAGAAAAACCCATTTAAAAAATGATATTTTATGACTAACTATAAATGATATATAATGTTGATCCATGTATGTACTTTGTTTTTAGTGAAAATACTCTGCTGGTAAATAT